TCTCTCTCCCTCTCTCTCTCTCTCTCTCTCTCTCTCTCTCCCTCCCTCTCTCTTTCTCTCTCTCTCTCTTCCCCCCCTCTCTCTCTCTCCCTCCCTCTCTCCCTCTCTCTTTTTATCGTTATTTACATAATGGTGTGTAAGTGCATGTCCTTTTTAATTGGGTTGGGGGTAGATGGGCTGAGAGCTTGATTTGCTTTAAACTTCTATATCCCGTGAATGACTGAATGATCATCTGTCATTAATTGTCTTACTCTTTTTGTCTCTCAAATCCTAAAATGTACTCGTTGAGATTTTTTAAGGAGAATGGAACTGATTGTTAATTAAGTTTTCCTTGTTTCTGGACTTTAGAAGACTCCCACGTTCAGTTTGTAAAGAATATATCCTTACGTATTTATAGGCGTCATATTGGATTAAGTTTGGTCTTTTTTGTAGGGAACCTTCGTATGCATGTCCACAGATGTGAACAGAAACTCCTTGGCTTGCACGCCTCTTGTGGATTGTTTGGTGGTGCAGATGGATTGGGCTCTTCCAAAGCAGGTGCACAACGAAAGGAGCAGGTCGCAATAGCAAGAAAAGCACTAAAAGACGTTGAATCCTTCTGCTATCCTGGGAGTATAATTGACAGAGAGTGCTGACATAAAGTCCCTCATTGGAAAACCACAGGCTTTCATATCTTTGAATAGGATATAGAAGACCAGAGATATCTCACTTCGAACAAAGCTGAGGATTTTCAATTCAGATGTGAAGTCATAGAACGCATTTCAGACTTGCATAAAGAGGATCCAGGTTTTCTTGAACAAGTGTCTAAGAAAGTGGCCTATACTCTGGTGCAGGGTGAGAAAGGCAATGATAATGCTGATGATGTCAAAGTCCAAACAAAGACTAAGATAGTTATTCTGGCTTTGTCTTTTTATAGTCAGTAGTCGTTTGATTTGGTTGAGCAATCACATCTGGGTTTCAGTTCGTTAGGTTTTTTTTAATCGTCCAATCTCTTGATTTGCATTGCTTATTGCTGGCCGCTCTTAACTTTGTTTGTTTTGGGGTTTTTTATTGCAAACAAGCAAGATCAAAATAACTGTATAAACTACTAGTAGTTTAGTTTAGTTTTAGCAGAGGTTGTTCGGCACTCGCAACTGCAAAAGGTCATATGATCGCCTTAAACTACTACAGGAAGGGCATACACATAACACACTTGAATCTGACAGTCGTGGTGAAACAATACTGATCCTGCATCTAGAACAGTAGAAGGCAAACATTTTAATCATGGGACAGGGAGGTTTTCCAGCAAAACGCATGCTGTCGGCGACATCACAATTATATTTTACGGCCTGGACACCGCGAATACTGACCGACCATTATGTTTCCTCAACCCAGTCGCTCACATTATATCAACGGTCAAAAGGGGCGTTAACGGGCCAACGGTCA